AGGATTAAAAACCAAAACACATCCATCTTTGAACTTCACAGCACCTCCAGCTCCCACACTATCTCTCTTCTTCCCTTCACAAAGCCCTTAAAAGTAATGCCTGTAATTCCTGTTCCACATCTTCTCATTTCTAGCTCACTTTCTGGTCTGCTCCAGGCTCTTTTTCCCCATCACACTGTCCCTAAATACTTCTAGCTCAGGCCGCTAGTGACTTTCATATTGCCAAACTCAGCAAACATGGGCTGTTTTTTTGTTTGTTTGTTTAGTTGGTTGGTTTGGCTTTTGGTTTTTTTGAGGCAAGGTCTCACTATGTGGCCCAGGCTAGCCTCAAACTCATGGTGGTCCTCCTGTCTCAGCCTCCTGAATGGTGGAATTACAGGCCTTTGCTACCACACCACACCCCAATAAATGTTTTATTCTTGATTTTCAATAGCAATAATATTCAAAGCAGTTGATACCATCTACTTCTTTAACTACTCCCTTCTCAACTCTTGGTCTTCCTCTTAGGTATAGCTACTCCTCTCTCCCTCTCTCTTTGCTGGTTCAGTCTCTTCTCCTTGGTCATTAGGTGTTGTCCCTCCTCAAGGCTTAACCCCACATTTTATTCTTCTTTTAAATCGCAATGATAGGGTATACTTTAAGGGAAGAGCTTGAAGAATTTTTACATTGGTATATCTTATTATGTAATATCTGCACACTCTGTGTGTGTACATTGACATAAACATTTCTAGCACATCAGAAAGTTCCTTTGGGCCTTTCCCAGGCAATTCCACGCCGTCAGAGTTAGCCACTATTCTATTAGTATCATTAAGTTTCACCTCTCCTTACACTTCCTAGAGTATGTATATTTTCAATCCAATATCTCCTTCTTTGTGTCTGCTTTTGCTCAGGATTATGTCTGTGAGATTTAGCCATATTACTGTGATAGCAATAATCATTTCTTTTTCAGTGCTATGTAGTATCTCATTATATGAATGTACCACAATTTATCCATTCTACTGTTACTAGACATTTGGATTATTACCAGGTTTCTTTTGGCTCTTATAATAAAGCTACTATGAACATTCTTACTCGATTTTTTTTAGTTGATCTATGCACTCGTTTCTCTTGTGTTTGTAACTACAAGCTATGGTTAAGTCACAAGGTAGGATTTCATTTAGCAGTAGTCAACACTGCCAAATCAGGCCTTTTTTTGTTCCTTTCTACCTTTTTTCTTCAACTTTATATTCTATTCTTGGGCAGTCTCATCTTCACACGTGACTTCATTTACCACTTACACAATGGCAACCGCCAAATTCATGTCTCAGACCACCTCTCTTGTCTAGCATCAGCTCCAATGGCCAATTTTCCACTTAACATCGCTACTTGGATGTCTTCAAGATTCCTCCGAACCAGCATGTGCAAAACCAAACACATCCTCTTACCTGTCAAGTGAGTCCTTAGCCTCTGTGCCCGATCAAGGGTGCCACCCCTCACCTGCCTCGATAGGACATTGAGCCTTGACCAGATCAGCTGATTGTGCCACCTAATGGCTCCACTCCACCCCCTACCCTCACCACCCCACATCCCGTGTCTCGCCTGGACTGCTGCAGTGGGTCCTTGCAAGTCCTCAGGCAGCCTCGGAGTCTTCTCCACTCTCCAACCAGAGCCATCTTTTCAAAACCCAGCTTTAAGCACTTGATACCAAATGGTGTCCACAGAAGGGTCTTCCTTTGCTGTTGGACCAGAGTCTTCACCTTCCAGGCCCTGAGTGATATGGTTCCTGCCTGCCTTTACCCACCTCTGCCTCCTCTCTGCTGTCTCCCCCTCAGGCCTTTGCACATTCCCTGTTCTCTCCCTGGAACTCCCACCACCCTCCACACATATAAATAATTACCCCTTTTTATTTTTTAGATTGCAATTCAAACATCACTTTCTCAGAGAAACCATCCTTGATTCCCTGGTCTGGGTCAGGTCCCCATGCTCTTGTTTCCACAACTACATTATTACTTCCCAAGCACTTTCCATAGTTTACAATAAAATATCTACCTACCTATCTACCTATTGAAACAGAAGTGTGGCTCAGGCTGGCCTTGAACTCACTTTGTAGCCCAGGCCGGCTATAAATTCGTGATCCTCCTGCCCCAGCCTTCCTGGAGTTGCAGGCATGTGCTGCTATGACTAATGATATTTATAGCTTTTAAAATTAATGTCTGTCTAGTTCATTAGGTCATGAGCTCCATGCGGGCAGGATCTTGGCCCATTATCTGCTCTCCATTGTGTCAACGAGCAAATGAAGAATAAAGCGGGAAGGGATTTAGAGATAGATCTCTTAACTCTAGTCTGAAACCTATTACTTGCTCATCCTGAGACCTGAATCAGCTGTGTGGCTCCACTTCCTTGCTTGTCAAATGGTGGTGAAGTTACTCAGATTCCCTTCTTTGATGGGTGTATAAAGACCCCGTGAAACCACTGCACAGATGTGAGAGGGGCTTGAAATTCAGAGAGAGATAACAGAGAAAGTCAGAAACCACTCCACCTGACACACACAGCTGAAGACAAGTCCTGGTGGGGAGGGACGTGGGGAAGAGGTGCTGAGGGTTGGAATTGAGAGTGGCTGGCGGTGTGTGTGTGTGTGTGTGTGTGTGTGTGTGTCTGAAACAGCTGGGTCACTCTTCTGAGGCCTTCGTGCGTGCTTTGGGTCTATGTATTCCCCCTAGCACTTTCCTCAGCTCTTCATTACTGAACAGCTTTGGATTTGTCTGCTTGAATGAGGTGAGGGTGAGAGAGAACGTTAGAGGGGTGAGGTTGCAGAGGACAGAGGAAGGAGGAATACAGGTGCATGTGTCTGTGTGTAGGAGTGCAGAGCGGGTCTTGATGTTGAGGTGGGGCAGAGCTGTATGGCTGTTCTTTGAAGCCACTCTGTGTCTGCATGGCCTTCTCTCTGAGGTGGCCCCGTGCTAGAAGCTCCTCCCACCTTAATTTCCTTCCTCTGAAATCCAACCTATACCCGCTCCCAGGACTGCTGAAGGAGGGGGACAATGCCCTCTAGTGGTCAAGGAACATAAGGCCAAGGAAGGCTGCCCAGCCCAAGCCCAGTCTAGAACTCACCTCTGAAACCCTTTGTGAGGAGATGTGAATGAAGCAAGATGACCCTGCCTTCTGAGAGCTGAGGTCTGACAGGCAGGAAGAAACTGCCCACAGGGCAGGAAACGGAAGAGCAAACCATGAATTCATGTGGAAGAAGCCCAAAAGACAACAGCTGAGAGTAGGGGGTCTCTCTCCTACTCTCTTCAGTGATTTATCTCCAGTTGCCCTGGTGTTCTTGGTCTTTCTCGCTTACAGATTCCTGATCTTTTATTCTCAGAGGCTCCGCCTCAAGGAGCTACGGCTTACTATGCCTGCCTGAAGGGCCTTGAGCAGAACTATCGCCTGGATGGGCACTGATTTCACCCTGTGCAGTCAGGGAATGCTTCTTGGCGAGGCAATGAGTGAGCAGGGCTTTGAGAAATGAGTAGGAAGCCAGGTGTGGTGGTGTGTGCCTGTGGTCCCAGCTGCTTAGGGTGCTGAGGTAGGATGGCTGGGGCTCAGGAATTTGGGGCCAGCTTGGGCAACATAGCAAGATTCTGCCTCTCGAAAAAGAAAATAAAAGAAAAATGGCTAGGTACTTTCCAGGTGGAGTCTGGGGAAAGCATTGTGTGTCTAGGGAGAATCAGTGGCTGGACACAGGGCTAGGGTGAGACTGGAGGGTATGTGATGCTCAGCTTTGTAGGTCCACGTAGGGGAGAGGATTTTGGCAGGAGGTACCAGGGAGTGAAAGATTTTTAAGCAGAAGAATGGCCAGAGTCATAGCCTGAAGGCAGGGAGAAAGGGCAAGGGGGCAGGGAGCAAGGAAGTCCACTGGGAGGCTGTTGTTCAGGCAAAACCCTTTGAGGCCAGTCTGAGGACAGCGGCATAAGGATGGAGAGGGGCCAGACCTCAAAGCTTCTCTTCTTCTGGGACCTCTGTGTCCCTGGCAGCAAAGCTAAGGCCAAAGGTTGCACAACATCACTTCTGCTAAAACCTGGCACCCTGCCTCCCATTCTCCACACTCCTGGGTCTCTACAAATGAGGAGGGGACAGGGGGCAGGGCTCTGGAATGGTTAAGGAATGGCAAAGCCCAGGTAGACTTGTCCTGTCCCCACTGCTCCTCCTCTGGGCCTGCCGAGGAAGGGTTAATCTGCTCTCCTCCCTTCCTCTCCCTCCTTCCACTCCCCTCAGGTCACCTTCTTGGCCCTGGAGACTTGGATGGTGGCTCAAGTTCCTCAATCGGTGGCCCCAGGGTAACCAGAGGACATGGAGGGTGCACAAAGACTGGACGACCTGGGATTGCAAGGCTGAGGGGTGGGGTGGGGGGTCCCAGTACTCTGACCCAGAACCCTGTGTCTCTGCACTGACGTCATTTTCATCCTGCTCCCTCCAGCCTCTCTTCTGCGCTGTAGGGGGCTGGGCAAGGTAGGAGGGTGGCGATGATCTGCCAGTAAGCTTTTCAGCTGCAGGACACAGGGTCCCTCCCCAGTGCCAGGAACTGACCAGAAATGAGTCTGTGGTCAGCGAGAGACCTCTGCTAATGGAACCTGGGCTGCCCCCCAAGCCACAAAAGGCGGAGCAGAGGGAAAGGGGCCTAAGTGCAGCTCAGCCTGGAGGAAGACTGTGAAACTGAAGTACAGCTGGAGGTCAGAGGAGAAAGAGGAAGAGAAAGGGGGTCAGAGGCTCATTGGAGGGAACTTTGAGGGTCAAGGGAGTGATTGCAGGGGAACTGGGGGCTTGGGGAACAACCAAACGTAAATTGGGGTGCATTGATGCATTGGGAGAGTTGGGATCAATAAAATAGTTGGGAGGGTGTCATAGGTCAAGGGGAACTAGAGAAGACTTGGAGCAGCAGAGAGTGCCCACGGAGTGTGGGGTTTAGGTAGCTCACAGGGATACCAGGAGCGGGTGAGAATAAGGGAGAGGGTCAGAACTGGGGAGGGAAACTGAGGGACGTGCCATGGCGAGGGACAGACTGGAGGGGAAGGGAGCCTGCGTGCCTGTCCCAGGGGAGGCCGGGACTGTTGCCAACTGAGATCATCCTGGCGGTGGGAGCCCAGGATGGTGCTGGGTCCTGCCTCACCTGGGGAGGGGCTACTAGGAGCCCTGGCCCTAGGCTTTTCCACTGTCTTAAAGCCTCTGTGTCCCACTGGAGCCAGCGAGACGGGAAAGGGGCTCCAGCCCCCTCCTCTCCAACACCCTCCCTTTCCCACCATCAATTATTCATAAGCACAGATACCGCCCTCCCTAGCAGGACTGGCTGTCCCTGTTCTCCTGCCCCGCCACACCCCAGCGCAGCCATACTGCCACAGAGCCCCGATGAGGAAGGACAGCCAGCCGGGTCTCGGAGACCTGGCCACAGGACTAGGCGGCTGGCTCTGCCCCAGTCTTCCTAGGGTCACATCTCCTTTCCCTCAGGCACCTTCCTCCTTCTTCCTGCCAATTTCCTGGTAACAGAAAGCCCCTGAAGAAGATGCCCATCCGGATCTTCTGCTCTGTGTCTTTCTCCTCTGGAGAGGAGGCCTCGGGGCCCTTTGGAGATGCTTGGGGTCCCCAGCTGCAGCAGCAGCACCCACGGAGCACCTCAGAATCAGAAGAGGAGGAAGAAGAGAAAGAAAGGCCATTGAGGAAAGAGGCCAATGAAGGAGATTTGCCTGTGGACTTAGTGGCCTTTGCCAGAAGCTGTACCCTCCATGGTGCCAGTCATGTCTTTGTAGAAGGGGGTCCAGGGCCAAGGCAGGCCCTGTGGGCAGTAGCCTTTGTTCTAGCCTTGGGTGCCTTCCTGTGCCAGGTAGGGGACCGCATTGCTTATTACCTCAGCTACCCGCATGTGACTCTGCTGGATGAAGTGGCCACCACGGAGCTCGCTTTCCCAGCAGTCACCTTCTGCAACACCAACGCCGTGCGGCTATCCCAGCTCAGCTACCCCGACTTGCTGTACCTGGCCCCCATGCTGGGGCTGGATGAGAGTGATGATCCTGGGGTGCCCCTTGCTCCCCCTGGGCCAGAGGCTTTTTCTGGGGAGCCCTTTAATCTGCATCGCTTCTACAATCGCTCCTGCCACCGGCTGGAGGACATGCTGCTCTATTGTTCCTACAGTGGGGGCCCCTGTGGCCCTCACAACTTCTCGGTGGTGAGTGGGGCCCCATGGCTAGCACAGGGCCCTGAGAGTGTGTGCCATGCTCTTCTTGACTGTCGCCTCCCAGGGCTGGGGCTGATTGTTGTGTCCCGACCAGGGTCAGAGCTCACCAGGGTAACCCAGGGTCTGGATCTGATCGATACTGCCAGGTTCTTGGGAGACCTGCTCTTCCTGTTAGAATCCTGATGTCCTTCCTAGTGGGAAATCAGCTGCTGCCTTGAGGTCCCTGGAATCTGAGTATCCTCCAGCCTCACCTGCCATCTCTAGACCTCCTTGTGGCCCAGCAGAGCCCTAGGACTTTGCTCTACCTGTAAGGTCTGCCTTTGACCTATCAGTGGGGTGCCTTGCCTAGGCAACTGCTAACTATTTTGACTGGCACTCCTGGATTAATGTTGGGGCATTAGCTACCTGGTCCCCAAAGCTACAGAGTAGATGGCAGGAAGGTGGGAAGAGTCCCCACCTCCACCTCACCACGCCCTTGGTCAGCAGCTCCCGCAGCAAGGACTTCACTGAACCTTCAGCTGGTTTCCTGTGCTCTCTCCTGCGGGAGCCTATACTGTGTTACTTCTGTGGTATCCGTGTGTGTGTGCACGTGTGCATATGCGTATGTGTCTAAGAGTGAATAACAAGTGTCCCTACATGAAACCCCTTTCTCCCAGCTTTAAGCAGGAACTACTCCCAAAGGAAGTCCCTACAGAGATATTCAGGTTTGCACCCTGGCCCTCCCATCCAGAGGCCTGGGTCTTCTTGCCACCCCACTTACTCCCCAATTCATCCTCCAGTGCTTTATGAGCTGATTCCTGTCTGCCCCTCCAGGTTGTAGATGCTTGGCCTTTCTTCCCCACACCCCATCCCTCAGACCCCTATCTCCTCCCCATTGTAGGAACAGGTGACTATGATCTCGGCTCATCTAAGTCCATGGAATGGCTCTAGACATGTGAGACCTGCAGGGTTTTGCAGCTGGACCTCAGGAAGGCCAGTACAAAAGGGAAAGGGACAGGAGAGTATCACCGCATCTTCATCCACTGGGAGGGTAGAACAGACACTTCTTATTCAGAGCCACCAGGTGGCAGCATCGATCCACCTGCTCCCAGCCTCACCCTCTGAGTCCAGGCAGGGCTGAGCCTCCCAAAGGGCCTCAACCACCTGGACTCACTCACATCCCCAGATGAAGGGTAGGCACGGGCCGTGTCCAGCCTGGAGTGCTAGTGGTACGGTACAGCATGTGGTGGGGGCCCCTGGAGTTCTCTCTGTGCATCATCTATTCAACATCACCCACAAAACAGAACAGCGTGTTTTCTCTTCCAGAGGGGAGCAGAGCAGACTGGACTAGGAAGGGGAAAGGGGCAAAGACTATTCCCCAGTGCTCCCCAGTGACCCCCAGTGACCCTGCCGCCCCAGGGTTCACCTTGTGACTCACTTTGTGCACTTTACCGCCACCACCCAGCAGTGGTCAAAGCACACCCATCCCATTTCTGGGAACGTTTGGAGAGTCCGCAGGGGAAGGACCATGGAGAACTGGCTCAGCTACGTGACCAGAGACGTGATAAGGGCTTTGTAAGGCCACAGAGCGGGGAGAAGACTGAGGAGGCTGCCCCCGGGCTGAGATGTCTCTGGGGATACTCATAGCTCTGCAAGAGCACTGCCAACAACCACACGTTGGTGCCCAGTCCCAAGTCTGGGAGAAGAGCACAGTCCTTGCCGTGGCAACTAGAGCTACTTTCAGGTTCTAGTGATAATGGGACAGTGATGGACCGAAGGGACTGATGGCCGGGCTTAGGTTGGGGACAGGCCTCAGGGACAGAGAAGAGAAGATCTAGCTCAGTGGTCTGGCAGTGGCAGGATCCTGGTGATAGAGGTGCACATGTCAGGGGCCTGGCAAGAGAGAGAGAGATTTCTCCTTGATAGTTCAATTGAAAAGACTTTAACAAAGGGGCTGTTTACAGAGCTGCAGGTGGGACTAAGAAAACTACTAAGAGGAGGTGAAGTAGCTTGCCATAGCGGGAAATTGTTAACACTTCTAGGCTGAAGGAGCACAAAGGAAACAGTGCCATGTAGGGAGCCCGCCCTGCAGGAGTCATAGTCAGAGAGTCTAAGCCACTGCCAGCATTACAGAGAGACCAAGTGTGGGGGAAGGATCAGTACCCCAATCTCTTCCTGCTCTGATTCCTTACTTGTGGTTCCCACTGCCAGAACCCAACTAGAAGCCCATTGTGCCGGCAGAGGAGCTCAGGCCATATGCCCCGGGAAGGCCAGTTTCCCAGGGAGCACAGCAGAGCAAAGAAGCGTGGAGAATAGGAGAGGGAAACAAATGGACAGTGGGCTGAACAGGAGGAACTGTTCCAAAGGGAGTTGGAATTCTGGCAGCTGGTGGACCTGCAGACAGGTCTTAGTGAGTAGGGGGCAGTGACAAGACTCTCAGGCTCTCTACTCTGCTCCCACCAGGTCTTCACACGGTACGGAAAGTGCTACACATTCAACTCAGGCCGAGATGGGCGGCCACGGCTGAAGACTATGAAGGGTGGGACAGGCAACGGGCTGGAGATCATGCTGGACATCCAGCAGGACGAGTACCTGCCAGTGTGGGGGGAGACTGGTATGTCATCTCCCTCAAGGGCCCCTCCGCACGGGCCCCGGCCTCCACAGGGACACTCCTGGGCTCCACTGTGGGGCCGAGAGAGGGCTCAGGCTCCTGCCCTTCCTCCCAGGCTCTATCTCCATTGTGACTCTACCTGACTTCCACACACATTTCCCTGACTCGCTCTTCGTGGCTCAGTTACTCTCCAAGGTAACCAGCCGTCCTCTCCCATCAGCAGCCGCCACTCACTCTATAAATAACTCCCTCTCTTCTTGGGCTGCCTGCCTGCCTGGTCTCAGGGGGCCTTGGGGCAGAGAGAGATGGGAAAGAAAGGGGAAACAAGGAGACGCAAAACTGGAAGTGTGTCCGAGGCAGTGGCACTCTGGGGAGAGAATGTAAAATACCAGGATGTATAGAAGACACCAGGTAAGAAAAGAAGCGTGTAGAAGGCAGAGGTCATTGGAGCAGCATGGAGCTCAGAAATCCAGAAGGAGGCTGAGGGTGGGCTAGCACCCCAGAGATAGCTTTCCCACCGGGGAGATGCTCCTGGCTCTGAGAGAGGTTAGAGACTCAGAAGTCCTCTCGACCCCTTTCCCATAGATGAGACGTCCTTCGAAGCGGGCATCAAAGTGCAGATCCACAGTCAGGATGAGCCTCCTTTCATTGACCAGCTGGGCTTTGGTGTGGCCCCAGGCTTCCAGACCTTTGTGGCCTGCCAGGAGCAGCGGGTGAGAAGGCCATGGAAGCCTGGTCCTGGGGTGGGCTGTTGAGGGGTCAGGATGGAGTGGTGGGTGATCAGTCATGGGAGGAACAGGTGACCTAGGGCCCAGGTGATAACGGGGCTGCTTGACAGCATGACCTAGTGAACGGAAATGTCCCGTGAACTCTGAGCCTTCTGAGGCTGTGGAGGGTTGAGGGGGTCCATCGAACTGACTCGCGGAGAAGTCCCACACTCCCCCAGCTCCCTGGCTCTCCCAGCAGCTCATCTACCTGCCCCCGCCCTGGGGCACCTGCAAAGCTGTTACCGTGGACTCGGATTTCTTCGACTCCTACAGTATCACCGCCTGCCGCATCGACTGTGAGACACGTTACCTGGTGGAGAACTGCAACTGCCGCATGGTGCACATGCCAGGTCAGCCCCCAGCTGCAAGCACAGTCCCGGGGTCCCTCGGCATGTGCTTCACCTGCCCCCATCATATCAACCTCCCTGCCACTAGCCCAGTTCCAGCCCACACCATTCCTTACCTTTCCGCTTCTTCTTGTCTCTCTGACCTCAGTTCCTGCCTGTGCCCTCAAAGATGGGTGGAAGGTCTAGAAAGGGTGGGCTGCTGGGGGAGGGAGGGACACTGCCAAGGAACACTGGGGCTGGCTGGTCCTACTGTGCCATCCTCTCTTGGCTTCCTCCAGTTATAAACTCCATTCTGAACTGTCTTCTCTCCTCTGTAGGGGACGCCCCATACTGCACTCCAGAGCAGTACAAAGAGTGTGCGGATCCTGCCCTGGGTGAGCGCCCCTGTCCTGGGGCAGTGTGGGGGGGAGCTGCTGCCAGCCGCATGCACAAGGGTTTTAGACTGCATCCCAGAAGCACCCAGCAAACCCTGCACCAGGCAGAGCACCGACATGTATCTGACTTCAAGGTTGACAATAGCATCTTCAGAGACCCCTATGAAAAATGAATAGGGCTTACCTGGGAAGGGACTCTGCCCTCTTTCATCATCAGCCACTCAGCAGTCCCTTGAGGGCCTTGAGGAAATGCATATAAAAGTTAAAAAATATCCATGAGGCCTCGCAAGCTCAAGGTCCTGAGTTCAATCCTCAGTACTGAAAAAAAAAAAAAAAAAAAAAAAAACCCAAGCCATGGGGAGGCTGTGTGAGGATCTGCACAGCATGGGCAGGGGGCTGGGGTAGGAAAAAGAGAAGGGGACCCAGGCTTCCTTTGGGCAGTGCCAGAATGTTTGTGTTGGGAAGATGCCAGCAGAAGGGTACCACTCAACTGGCGCCTTCTCCCCACTGGGCGTAGACTTCCTGGTGGAGAAGGACCAGGAGTACTGTGTGTGTGAAATGCCCTGCAACCTGACGCGCTACGGCAAGGAGCTGTCCATGGTCAAGATCCCCAGCAAAGCCTCAGCCAAGTACCTGGCCAAGAAGTTCAACAAGTCTGAGCAGTACATAGGGTAAGGGCTCTGCTGTGCAGGGTAGGGCCTTTAGGAAGGGACTGTGGAGGGCGTAAGGGGGCTTTGATGAGGGACCTGCAGGCAAGAGGCAGTGGAGAGAACCTGGGAAGGTCCAAGAGGCAACCAAAGAGCATGCGTGGGCATGGAGGGAGGATCAAGCCAGAAAAACCAGTGCAAGCACTCCTTTCTCCCTCCTTGCCTTACCCTCGCAGAGTGCCTTTGCATATATGCCATTTCTCTTCATCCTCACAACTCTGAAACGCAGGTATCTCCATCAGCATCTCATTTTGTGGCTATGGAAACAGGTTCAGAGAGGCTAACTTGCTGAGGTCACCCGGCAGATAAGGGGCAGAGACATGACTTGAACCTAGGTCTCCTCCCCCAACTCCTGTGCAGGGAGAACATCCTGGTGCTGGATATTTTCTTTGAAGTCCTCAACTATGAGACCATTGAGCAGAAGAAAGCCTATGAGATTGCAGGGCTCCTGGGTGAGCTGTTGATGGTACCTGTTCCCCTTTCCATGCCTTGGGCATGGTGTGGCTCCCTACTACTCAAAGCAGGGTGTTCTCTCTGACCTGTCCCTGGGGGCTTTTCTCTAAACCCTGTTGTCAAAAGACAGCGTCTTGGGCTTGAGGCGATCGTGAGGGTGGAGATGGAGGGGGAAATAGAAACGGAGGGAGGTGGGGGAGAGGGAGTCTTTCGCACACACTTGAAGTTGGCCCAAATGCTAAGAGTGCTGGGGACGTTTATAAACAATTCTTTTTTCCCCGAGTAATACTTGTTCATTTAGGAAAAGTAGCAAAATGCAGAAAAGCATAAAGAAAAGAAAAATCCGCGAATCTGGCTCATGCAATCGTTGTGTATGAAACTGCCAATCCCTTTGCGATTGTGGCTAGCCTGCCCCAATCCCGCAGAATGAACCCTGCTGCTCCCACGGTATTCTCGACCCCACTGACCTCCCTATCCTCCACGCCCGCAGGTGACATCGGGGGCCAGATGGGGCTGTTTATTGGGGCCAGCATCCTCACGGTGCTGGAGCTCTTCGACTACGCCTATGAGGTAAGGGGTGGGGCGG